ATTTATTTCATATTGAATATAAATAGTAAAATACTTTTGTGTGATAAAATCATTAATTTTATGTTTATAAAATTTTATATGCAACATAAACTAAATTTTTAATTCAAAGCTAATTATTTTCAATCATATCCAAAATATTTATAGTGAGTATGTCTATGAATAGTCTTAATATTAAATACTGTAAATATGTGGATATCTAAAGGCGCATGCATCACTGTAGTAGAGGACTAACCATAGCCAATTGATGTACTATATAGACCTGCAGAGATTAGTGGAAGGTAGATTGTAGGGGTGTCAATTTCGGGTCACGGGTCGGGTTCGGATCGAACCCGGAAATGACACGGGTTCAAACGGGTCGACCCTAACCCGACCCGGTTAGGTAAACGGGTCGGAAATGCGAACCCGGACCCGACCCGGCGGGTTGCCGGGTTGTCCCGACCCACGGGTCGGGTTTTCGGGTCGGGTCAAATGTTGACAGCTCTAGTAGATTGAATGTATTTATCCTCAAGATTAGTCTTATAAGGAATGCGGCTCTGAGCTGCATTTATTTTAATTTTGGGTTTGAGGTTTCACAAAGTAGTAAGCTCTCAATATTAATTACATCCCTGACATGTTTGACAATACTCTCAACTAAGAAGTCAATACTTATGTCTTAATTAGATAATATTAATGAAACTCTTGTCATGGTAAATCAGAATAGATCATATGGGGCTTTGTAGAGGATCAAAGGAGAAACATCCTAAGAACTAAGAATGGTGGGCTCAAAAGCACCCAAATGAAAGGGAAAGAGGAAGTTATATATTTATGCAGGTTATAAAGAGAGGCTCAAGAATTGATCTATGATGCCATGTAGCAGCACTTGACTAGTAGCAAAAGAATGAGCAAATGTAGGAAAGTGAGGACTAACCTACCAAGTGAGGCTAATACTCCCAATCAAGATATCATAATTTCATCCTTCTAGGTTTATAAGTTTCCTTAACCTACTTAGTCATGTAATGGTCAGAGAATCATTATTAGTAATCATGTGTTATCTCGTCTAGGGATATCTCATAGACTAAGGATTTATAGCTAGTTACAAGCTAACAAATAAAGTTTTTACTAAACTACCGTATGAGGGAGAACCCCAAACTGGATTTATAGTATTGTGTAATGGTACATGCCAATGCTAATATGGTACAATAGCTCTAAGATTGAGGAATATAAAATGAAGGCACCTTCTTGATGTAATGAATATGAAACATAAAAATAGAACTTATAATTTAATCGTATAGTCTTAATATTTGCTCGGTATGATTTCTCTATGATGTGGAATATTTTAATATATGCTCAATTTAAATAAAATGCCTAGAGAGTGAAATTAGAACTTTTTTTGCATATGATCTTAATGCGGTAGAGAAAAAATTAAAAATACGACTTATAACTTTGTCTCAATTTTTTCCAAAAAAAAAAAAAAACTTTATCTCAATTTTGTTCTAATTTTGTTCAAACTTCATTCAAATCAAATTTTGGACTAAGAAAATAGCGTGCGTTCAATAGTGAAGGTATTTTAATCCAAATAGAATTTTTTAGTCTAATTTTCCAATTACATGTCTTATTAGACATATAAATTTAAATCTCCTTTATAAAAGTCATTTTGCTGATTTTTTGGAAGAACATTATGAAAATAGCGTCGTTTGATTTGCTGAAAAAGAATTGCTGAGTAAGATTAGATATAGTATAAAAATAATATAATGTAATTAAAATATTTTGAATTATTTGAATGAGTGTATAATAAAAACAAGTGATTAATTTTTTTAATTATGCTTGAAGTAAAATAAGTACAATATAAAACCCAATGATAGTAGTGGTTGGTGAGTTGCGGCTTCAACAAGAGGAGATGGTGTCAAGCAATAGCTAGGGACTAGCAACAAGCTACAAGTAGCGGGCGGTGCTGAGTAGTGGCGGTGATGGCATGCAACGGGAAGCACGGTGGTTAGCTGCGATGATAGCAAACATTTTACAATATATATTTGAAAATCAGCCAAAATCTAATGATTCTCATATTCATCAAATTGAGCTAGAGAATAAATTTCAAATACTTCAAAATTTTTACTCAATTTTTCTTTTATTTTGAACCAATTATCAACATTTTTAAAACTACTATAACTAAAATACTTCTAATTATTTTACTTCAAATCAAATATGTCTTAAATAAAATTAAAGATCCTAGAAAAAGTGAATAAAATTGTAAGTTCTGAAAATTAAAATCACAATTTAGCTAATGTTTTTTCATTTCTATCTCAAAAAAATTTTAAAAAAATATTTTTTTCTACAACAGCAAGTTGTCATAAATGAAGCCTAAGATTGTTGGTAGCTTTCTCTGACAGACCTAATAAACTTCTCATTTTAGATTTTTTTCTATTTATATAAAATCCATAAAAATTGTGCTGATTTATAAATTTTAAGAGAATCATAATCAACTTACATTAGTTTTTCACGTTAAATCAGGCGGCCCAAATTATTCCCTCATGGAAATGATCAAAACTTCAACAAGCGGATATTTCATTATAATTCTTGAAAGGTGTGAGATTTCATTTTATTTTTCTCTAAAAAAGGGTTATAATGACAGGTGATGATCTTGGTTTGAATTTATTTAGCTCAATGAGAGCAAATCAATGTCATTGATGATTCACAAATCGAAGGCTTGAATTGAAAAGTCTTAGTAATTCTAAAAAAAAAAAAATTTAGACTAGATAATAATATAGCATCAAAAAATGGTTATAAAATTCCATCATTTTGTAAGATAAAATGTGCTTCTTGTTGAGATGAGCGGTCAAAGTTAGTCAAGCTGACTTTTGAGTTCTTTTTAGGCTTGACTAGATAAATAGCTTATGATCTAAGTGTTGACCTCGTTTTTATCTTGATGTTCCCTCGAGCATGTTCGATCGAGTTGATCGAGCCTAGTCGAGCTCGATTCAATTCGAATCGACATCAATTTGAGTTTGATTTTTGTTCTCTTATGAATGCTACACCCTCTTACTTATCTGTTTGTGTGCTGGATCTTCGTACAATGCTAAGACGTTATACTAAATATTTCTCTACCATCGCGAATACTCCAGGACGCAACAAAGATAAAATGTGCTTCTTGCTGAGATTAGCGGTCTAAGTTAGTCAAGCAGACTTCTGAGTCCTTTTTGGGCTTGACTAGATAAATAGCTTATGAGCTAAGTGTTGACCTCGTTTTTATCTTGATGTTCCCTCGAGCATGTTCGATCGAGTTGATCGAGCCTAGTCGAGCTCGATTCAATTCGAATCGACATCAATTTGAGTTTGATTTTTGTTGAATTATCGTAGTCGAGCCGCATTGAACGCAAGTTGACTCGAGTCAAGTCAAGTCGAGTCCGATTCGAACATGATCTCAGCCTAAATAGCCTAATCTGAGTTTAATTCCATGCCAATTTACTTTATGATTATTTCAAACTATCTTCCAAATCAAGAATTTGATCAGATGGCTTTGATTGAATGGTCAGCCAGCATATATCTTTTCCTTAATATCAGCGGTCTCCAATAGAGGAATTTTTATTTCCTCAGGTTATCTGACTAGAGATACATCAGGTAGCCTATAATATATCGCCACATGCTCTTACTCTTTACCGCGCGGCCCGACGACCCAACTTGAAATGAATATGCGCGGTATTTGCTCGGTATTGCTAGGTACTACTCGGTATTTTGCTCGGTATTGCTCGATATATTTGCTCGGTATTGCTCGATGTATTTGCTCGGTACTTGCTCGGTATTGCTCGGTATTTGCTCGGGATCGGATGCAAAAACGGGATCCCGCTCGCTGTGGAGATAACCTTCTCCATTTCGCGTGCTTCTTCGGCTCCACTCGTGTCCGTTCGACTTTACTCCATCGACGACTTTCCCTTTCCACCGGATCGGAAGCTACGAAGTTTGATCGGAGGCAACAAACAGAGTTCGCTCGCTGCTCGGGATCAGAAGTTACAACATTTTAATTGAAAGCAAAAACGGGATCCCGCTCGCTGTGGAGATAACCTTCTCCATTTCGCGTGCTTCTTCGGCTCCACTCGTGGCCGTTCGACTTTTCTCCATCGACGACTTTCCCTTTCCACCGGATCGGAAGCTACGAAGTTTGATCGGAGGCAACAAACAGAGTTCGCTCGCTATAAAGGTAGTTTCTTCTCTTTCGCGTGCATCTTCGACCCTCTACAGTTGGTCGAACGAAGTGCCCTGCCGCCGGACCGAAAGTTACAGCATTTCAACGACATTTCGCCTGGAGAAATGTCGAGCAAATACCTATCAAATATCGAGCAAATACCGAGTAGTACATAGCAATACTGAGCAAATACCGAGCAATACCGAGCAAATACCGAGTAGTACCTAGCAATACCGAGCAAATACCGCGCATATTCATTTCGGGTTCGGTCGTCGGGCCGCACGGTAAATAGTAAGAGCACGTGACGATATATTATAGGCTACCTGATGTAGCTCTACGTCAGGTAACCTGAGGCAATACAAATAGCAGGCTCCATTTGTGTATGCTTGTAAGGCTGAAGCTAGGTTAACAAATGGCGGGCTTCCATTTTAAGCTTCGCATGCATCTCCCAAAGCTTGCTCCGCTTCTGGCATCTGGGGAACCCAGGCGAAATCAGTTCTCCAGGTTTCGGGTGGAATTAGGGCATCTCCAACCGAACGCTAAACGAGTGTATGGAGTCGTTCCGTCGCTCCAACCGAACGCGAAAATTTTCGCCATTTAATCGCAGGTGAACAGTGCGACGCCAATATTGGCGTCGCACTGTTCACTCACGCCATTTTTTGCTCTCAACCGGAAAAACGCACGAAAGGGAGAGCGATCATTACCTTCTCAGAAACATCTAAAATGACATTCAATTGAAACATCACCGCGCCATTTTGAAGTTTTACATTGGCGTGAAAAATGAAGTTTTGCGTTGGAGATGCCCTTAGAAGCGAAAGACGACTCCTATTCCTGGGCTTTTGGCTATTCACAAGGGTCGTCCTCTCTCTCGATCTCTTGCGTGTTCGCATAAGTCAAGAGAAGAACCGAAGCCCTCTCCCCCCATTGGCACGCTGCAGACGTCTGAACTCCCTTCCCTCTCTGTCTCTCTGCGTTTGCACAAGCCAGGGGCGGAACCCCTCCCTCCTTTCTCCTCTGTTCGGACCGAACTAGGAGGCGAACACCCCCCTCTCTCACGATCTCTCCCTCGGTGCTCGCGAGCAACAGCCAGGCCGAACCTCCTTCAACGACTTTGCTCCCGTCTCCCCTTGGTTTGGACAAGACCCGACGCCGAGTCCTTCCTCTCTTCGTCAATCCCTCTGTTTGCACAAGCAGGAGGAAGCCGAAGTCCTTCCGCCTCGCCGTTCTAGCGACTCAACCGAACCTACACCTAGCTCTACTCTTCGTTGCAGGTATACCCCTTTCCTTCTTCATCTTCTTTTCCCTATTTCATCTTTCTCTCCCTTGCTCTCTTCATTCTCCTTCTTCCTCTCCTTATTTCCTTCAATGCTACTCATTTCACTACTTTGTTGGAATAGATTTGTACTGGCAAAGCATGATTTAACTTTGTATAAATGGAGATGATATGAGCATACGGAGAACTCCGTAAAACGTTTAATGAGATTGTGAGTCTATGCACTAACCAATTCTTGAAAATTTTTGTGAAGCATATGAATTTGTTTTGTGGAAAGTTCTTTTCCTTCTCTTGTTGCTAGGTGTGAATGTAAAGCTTAACTTCCACATGGATTTTCCTCTCTTTCGTAATATTACACATCAAGTATTCAACTAAATATCATGAGCGAAGAGTTATGATGTTTTGGTGACCATCTTTGAAGCACATGTTGTTAGTATATATCAACATGTTTTAACTTATGCATCAAAGTTTGGGCAACTTATTTTGAGATGTAATGTTAAGTCTTGGATGATTGTAGTTGCTCTCTTTCATTCCAAAACTTTGGTAAATTTTAAATAAACTATTTTGTGATGATTTCAATAAAGCATGAATGTGAAGAGTTTGCATTTGCCACCAACCTCTTTATGCACATTGGTTGGTAGGTTGCTTCATCCACTTGCATGTTGGTTGCTGCATATATCTGCAAGCCCATAAATATTGATTGGAGGGTTACCGTTGTATTTATTGCATATCCCTTGAGTTCATTTATATGTCAGTAAGAGACTTCGTTGTTTGCAAGGACTATTATGTTTTCTTGTGAGTTGAAAAGAAGACTGCCGTCAATTTCAATATTCATTGCTTGCAAGTTTGAATGCATTTGTTTATGTTTTGATGTTGATCGTAGAACATTGTTGCATTCATTATTATGACTATTGACAATTCATTTTGTTCGTTCATTGCATGTCAAACCCTCTTCCTCGTAGAGAAGGAATCTACATTTGCTTACATGTAGAATGCTGTGTGAATAAGAAGTTTTTCACAGTAATTTGTAGGGACTCGTATGTGTTTCAAATATGCTGCATTGTATATGTTTGCAGGAGAGTTTGTTAAGTTGGTTGCATATAAGCTGCTGCTAATTGCTTAGGTAAGTTGCATTCGATGTTGCTTGTAGTATATTGTATGCACTTTGTAGTGAACAAAAATGCGCCACACTTATTGTTGATTTCCCTATAGCAACTTGTAGGAGTTCTCATGTGTTGCAGATCCTTGTCCTTGCAAATATTCACATCGTATGAATATCCATATGCACGGGAGATTCATTATACATGAATCATATCCCCGTCATCATCTATATGCAAGCTGATTAATGATCTGCTATATTCACTAGTATTTTCATTAGAAGCTCCTTTGCATGTAAAGGGAGTCGTTGTGTGCCGTATCGTTTGATGTGTCGGCTTGCAAATATGTCGTCGCATCTTCTATACATTATTCACACGCATATTATTGCACTTACTTCACCCTCCTTATATACATGCCTATAAGGTGGCAATCCACATTATCTTCAAGGGACTTTGTATGTTTACTTATGCAATTGGCATAAGTATTACAACCAATCATCATTGTTCTTCCTTGCTTTGTAATGTTTACTTGCTTTAACTTGCCATTGGAATACATATCATCAACATTGGAGCTTATCTAATATGAGCTTCATTATTCACACATTTGCATTTTGACTTTATTAATTAAAGTTACAACTTAATATTTGTTATTGCTTCATGCTCATTTATTTGATATTTGATTATTGTTTGAATTTTGAATTACGTTCATTGCTGTCCCATTCGAATTCAAATAGTCCACTATTATCTTATAGAGTTCAAGTCCTTGCTCGAGTTCAAGCAGCAAACTCAAGCTTTTGTTCTAATTAAATCAAATTCGAGTCCAAATTTGTAAGTTCTTTAATGTTCAAAAGTCCACAAATTTGGTATGTAAGTTCAATTAAATGCAGTGCCAAGACAAAGTCAATTGATTCCATTGCATGTATTAAAACGTCAACTTCCACTGATTATTGATTATATATCCCTTCTTCCTTGACTTTTTCAAACACTTTGAGTACATAATCATACATTTTGGTTAGACTAATTAATGTTTGAAAATATATAGTCCAACGGGTGTTACCAGCACGATGCAAATTTGTTTCTTGGTTTAAACCCCAACAATTATTTAAATCTCCACAACTTAAATGAAAAACTATCTTATCACGTTGAATAACTTTTAGCTTATCATTTATCTTGCATGAAACTCCAACAATATTGACAATTCTTGAAGTGATCTCAAATAAATATTTTACTTGCTAATAATTTTTTGTAACATACACTAAGCATAGTTGTAGTTGATGAGCAAAATAATGAATGTAAAAAGCCTGTTGATTATGTTTTAGAATGAGTGTTTTCAAAACATTAAACTCACCCCGCATATTAGATGCTCTATCATAACTTTGACCCCGTATTCTATGTATACTTAATGAATGTTTTGCTAAAACAGCTTCAACTGATACCTTGAGTGTAACTGCATTTGTTGAAGATATATGATTAATACCAATGAACCTCTCAATTACCTGACTCCATTTGTCTACGTATCTTACTTCAATAGCTAATTGTTCTTTCATAAAAACATCGCGAGACTCATCAACTAAAATGGTGAAGTAAGAATCGTTAATATCTTTCATGATTACAACCAAGGTATCAACAGTCATAGAACTACAAATCTCTTTTTGTACTTTTGGTGTTATCAACTTTAACTTAGCACTTGCATTTTCAAATGTCACTTTTTTAATCTCTTCATTATGATCTACGAGAAATTAAAATAGTTCTATTTAATTTCCTTGATTATTCGAGCCAGATGACTCAGCATGCCCACGAAATGATAGCCCTTGGCGAATGAGAAATCGTACACAATTAACAGCTGCAGTTAACATGATGTGATATTCTTTTTTATTCTTGCCTTTCTTGCTTGACCATAAATCGGGAATACTCTTTTCTTGAAGCTTCATTAAAGACTTGCATTTTTTGTCTTGCCATGTTGTGTGCACTGCTGTGTTCTCCTACATAACCCAATAGCTTCTCTTTATGCTTCCAATTCTTAAATCCCTCACCAACAAATATGTCTCCACCACCTTTGCTAGTATTAACTTGCTCTTGAGGCTTAAACAAGTAGCAATACAGTAAAATACCACATATTTCTGTATAATATATTCCATCCAATCAAGAAAGTCTTCAAACCATTTTGAGTTAAATATACGTGTAATGTTTCCAATCATTGTTTGAGGGAATTGATGCTTTTTTTGTTGATGCAGTCCCTTCAATAAATAAGCTCTTCAAGCTCTATCACTATCATTTACATCATAACTCCAGATGGATGGTCGAAGACCAGGATTAGCAGGTAGATTGTCAATATCAATCTCGACACGTTCTTTTCGCTTCAATAATCGTTCCATTTCTCAAAAGGCTAACAATGAGCAATCTAAATTAGCTAACATTGTTATTCTAATAAAAAAAGACAAAACAAAATTAATATAAAAATGCTAATTAAAAGTTAATGCTAATGGTGAGGATAGGTCCTGTTTGGAATTTGAATCAAAGCTGAAATAATAGCAATAGGTTCAAGCTTCTAGAAATATATTTTGTGGTTTATGCTTTTTCTAATAAATAGATATTTGCATCTGATCTTTTAAATTTATTCACATTATAATTGAGTTACAAACTCAAATCTTTCTCAATTTTATTTGTTTAACACATGGTTAGCAATGATCATACAGTTTTGATTTTATGGCTTCATTAGTTTTATGCTTGTAGTCTTTCTTTTTTGTAGTTTTTAGCTTCATTGTGATTGGGTTTAGAATATAACTGCAGTCATATGCTTTTTAGGTTGATATTTTAAAATGTATGCTAACAGATTATGAAACTAACAGATGGGGAAACAAGACAAATGAAATTGTTTAAGAGTTTATCAAAGCGTGCAATCCTTTGGTTTCCTTCCAATGAACTATTTCTAACAGTTATAATTGCTCATCATGTTTTATTTGCCTAAAACTTTTTCCAGTGCTTTTCAAACTTTGAGCAGATTATGAACATTGATTTAATGGAAGAAAGTCTTCATGTTTCCGGTTTCATCTGATTGGTTATACTTTATTCTAGTAGCTTGTTTTGTTACTTTCGCAGCAAATTATCCTTTCCATTTCATCTTTCCGTTGTTAGCATTTATCTTATCTAGTATGTTTATTGAGTGCAGGCAGCGTATATAACAGCCTTGGTAAGACGAAAAATAGCAAGAATGGTTTTTCTCAGGCTAAGGGTTTTTTTTTCTGTTTTTGATGGAGAAGTTGGCAGTTGTCTTGTGAGCAACAATAAGTTCGTAAAAAAATATGGCATTGCCTTCTTCATAAGAAAATCTCATAAAAATCACAAAAAAAAAACATATGCTCTAAAGTTTAGACTGAAATTTCAAAACTTACCTCCAGGCGGTTGCGATTTGCGAACTGGGAATTGGGAAGAGAGGGCAGTAGGCCAGCGGCTGCGATTTGAGACTGCGAAGTGCGAACGAGAGGACTCAGGCCGTCCGGCGTCCGACGACCTCTTCACGAAGGCAAGGCGGCTGAGGTTGCTTCATGAGAACCTTGCGAACAATGAACAAACGGAACAAAGACAATTGGGGAAACAGGTCCTAATGGATTAATTTAGGGAAAAATAATTTTTGTGAGGGGGGAAAATTTCGAAATAGCCCCTCCACTACATGTTTATTTTAGGGTGGACATTTGCCCACCCTTAGAGTAACTGGGATCCGCCTATGAGGTCGATCACCTTCAGCATGTGACTTTAAGAGGGGTGAAAAATGGTATAAATAAGTAGTCTCTAAGTTGGCTTATTTGGATTGATGGGTAGAGAAATGAAATAAATAGAGACATATAGAGAGAAAGAGAGAGAATAATATGAAATATAGTGATTTGGTAGTCTTCACTTAGGTCTACTATGATGATGAACTAATTCTCTTATTACAAGAGTTGTTTTGGAAGGAGGAGAGAGATGATAACTGAAGTCAAAGAAGAAGAGTAAAAAGAAAATGAAGGACAATTAATTCTTAAAATATATTCTCCTTAAGATTTTTAGTCAAATTTTAAGGGAAGATTTTAAGAGTGGAACCTATAATACCATCATTCCGTTCCTTCTATAAATCCTTAAGATATCCTTAATTAATGTGCTATACAAGCACAATGTATTCACCAAACAACGCAGATTGTGGATCGCTTTGGAGTACATCACATCACATTGAGAGATCATGGGTAGATGGTCATTCTTACAAGCTATTTTGGGCTTATTTGAATAACTTTGGTTAGATTGGTCTGGCGAGTTGACTCAATCGATTTAACTAAATGAAGCCTTTTGAGTGAGATTCTACATCCCAAGAAATTGGATAAGACTAAATAATTTAAATCTTCTTCGCCAAATAAATGGTCTTGATCAAGCATTAAAAGGTTACAAATAATTTCTAATGAAGACCCAATCCAATATAAAGTACAATTTCAAACTTCCTTCTTGATTCTCCTAAAATTTTTAGTGAATATCATATTTCCACTAGCACTCAATTGAACTTTTAGCGAAAATTTTTTCTAATAGTAAGTACCTTGTGATATTTTTAAATGACTAGAGGCCATCTGCCATATTCTCTCATAGGGCTTTTTAAATAAGAAGATAATATTCAATAATATTTATGAGCAACATATTTCAATGATATATAACCTGAGATACACGATGACTGAACATAAAGATCTAAGGATTTAGAAAAGGTTAAGATATAAAACTAATTTGTGAGAACTTTTTATCACTACTTGGAGGCACTCAATTTTTTGAGTGACTATGACTTCTAAAAAAAGTCACAAATATAAATAAGAATATTTTTGAGTCACATCAGTAAGTTGGATCAACTTAGGGTTTTTATCATTTAAACGGCTAATATTTTTTTTTTTTTAAAAGAAACATATATTAATGACAAGAAAAAACGGTTACAATAAGATAGAGCAAGGAAAAAAGAAAGAAGAAAAATTACAATATACCGTGGGCTCAGTAAGTGGTTGTGGCTTCCAGCACCATCGACACCCCACCAGGACCGTCCAAAAGGTGGAAAAAACAGCCAACCCAAACCAACCCGAAAATTCCACAGCAATGGTTGCCACCAGCTAAGTACAATAATGCGAGCCCCAACCCATCATTGCCCAAACTTCGACAAACCAGCAATCCGCACATAAAAAAAAAACAATATAGAAAACCAAGACAGGAACAAGGGACAAGCAAAATACACAATCGCCTACGGCGATCGCCGCCTCTACCACGAGTTCTACCCCGAGTCCCAACATAAGAAGTGAGTCTAACATTAACAAGAGTGAAATCAAATCCCGGGTTAGAACCACCACAGAACTCCGGCGACGCCAAACCAGCACCATCAGAAAATTCGGAATTTGGCTCACCTCGGACGAATCTAACCAATTTATATGGTTCCTAATATCCAGCCCAGAACTGCCGCCTAAGGAATTGCCCACAAATCGCGTATCAACCAAATTTACAGGAACCTCAATGAGGTTATTAGAAACTGGAGTGCATTTTTGAGACACTTCCATATTTAGACCCGGAGAGATTGCCCCAGGCTGAACCTCAACAGGGTCACCCACAAAAATATCCGGCAAATCCTCAACACAATTAGACGGTAAATTAGGTGGAAAAAAAGGTACAGCATTAGGAGATAAGGCAAAATTAACATCAAAACCATTCTCCAGCCTTTCACCAACATCCCTAGCATTCACTGTACATTTACCAAATCCCTCGCGCGCAACATCGACGGAAGTTGGGACGATAACATTAACATTATTTTGATCCACATCAACACAATTTGAAACAGCAGCATTAGGAGAAACTAAAGCCTGATCAAAACCCCCCACAACCATACCAGAAAGCACACACGCATCAGGCGAAAAAACCCGACAATCAACATCAGGCAAGATCTCACCCTCCACACCAGCTGTCTGATAATGAACAAGAGTTTCACAATCTAAAACATCTCGCTCTAAAACAACATCACATAATTTCGCAGCAATTTCACAACCCGGAGAAATAATCGGAACTTTGGTAGAAACAGGAACAAGAGGAATGTCCTGGGGGGCAGAGTTAACAACCGGGGAGGATTTGGAAACAAGTTTAGGACAATCCAATTTCTTATGACCTAAAGCTTTGCAAAATAAACAAAAATTTGGCATGCCCTCAAAAATGACTTTCTGGACATACCACAATTTCTCCAGACCCAACCAAACAGAATCGGGAAATGATTTGGTTACATCAATTTCAACAAGAACACGAGCAACTGATGGACGGGATCCAGAAGCCGTAGCATTGTCTGTTTGAATCGGCCTACCAAAGACCGAACCCAACCCAAAAAGTATACGGGAGGAAAAGAGATGGAGACGTAATCCCGGAAAAGAAAGCCAAACAGGGACGATCAGAGATTCCTCCGACAAATCAAGAACCGGTGACCACTTTATAACTTTCATAAAACAGCCAAAGACAAAGTAAGATCTGTGAGCAAAAATCCTAGCATAATCCATATCATTGGCAAGCTTGATTAAAACATTAACTTGATCCAACAAAGTCACTGAAAAATCCCCAAATAATTTTAGGTTAAAGAAAAACCTACGGATTGAATCTAAAGATGGCCGTTTAAGGGGGAATTTCCCCACCAACTCAAACTCAAAAGGCTTAGCTAGATGCAAAAATCCCTCTTCCGAAAACCACAATGATGGCATACCTCGATTCGAAGAAGTACGAGAATCCGGAAAACCATTCGATTCAATGGAACCAGATAAAACATCCTTAAATGATTTAGGTTGCTTACCCGCAAGGAAACCAGGATCAAGCAATTTTTTCGCCATTAAAAACGTACCGCCGGCAAGGAGACGGCAAGAGCAGAGACGCAAGGGCAAAAGCTCTAAAAGGGCGAAAACCCTAGCAGACGAGACGGAGGCATGTGCTCACTGGTCAATCTCTCACTCATATTTAAACGGCTAATATAATAAAGGCAATGAATATATGATTTAGTTGTGTGAAGTCTTTCACATTATCTCTCTCCTAGGTGGCATGAGGGGTTCTCTTTCAATACTTCAAAGGAAAGTGAGACAACTAGTTTTTTTTTCTTTTCGGTGGAGGGATATTTAGGTCAATTAAGATAATTAAATTCGCACACACACATATCACATACGCAAGCTTCAATCTTCGAACCTGAGACCTCTTTATTGATAGTTGAAATTCCCAATCAACAGATCAAGATGAGCTGCATGAGACTACTTGTTCAAAGAGCCTCAAAATTGGATAATTCTCAAACTTTTATCAAAGAACATCAATGATATACATTTTTTTAAAAAAATTGCTTGTAAAATTTCCTTTTAATTCATGCAAAATAAAATTTAATAGGTTAATCATATTCATTTATTTTTTCAAAAGGAATAAGAGTGAAACATGCATGATTTTTGAAAATATATGAATAGTAACAATAAAATGTCAAATATTAAATGATACAAATGATATGAATGGTATATATTTTAATTAAGGCTTCGTTTGGGACGGCTTTTAATTTGTTCAACCACTATTTTTTGTTACTTTTAAACAATTAAAAAAGAAAAACTGTTTTAAAAGAAGCAAGAAAACTATCCCAAACAAGACCAAATATCATCTCAAAAAAAAAAAAAAAAACTTTCCTCCTTCATTTACATGTGTAGAAGAAGAACAAGCCTCCGGCCCTTTCTTAACTTGTCTCTATTATCTATAGAAGAACTGTATTGAAGTCACATCATCTCCATCGACTTCTCTGCAATATTGTTCAAAAAATTATTCATTTTTTCACTGGTTTCTGAGGACTTAAGTTTACTGTGGTAAGAAAAAAATAATAATTATAATACCTTGTCTGTGGGCTGCATTGGCATTTTCGTGCTCTATGTCATCTGAATAGATTTGATTAAGATTGTTAATTGCTTGCTTATCTTTGATACTATTTTTATTTGGTATAAGGTGGAGGAAACAAAGAGATGCTGCAGCAATGGCACCAATCAATGGCGATATCACATAGATCCAAAGCTTGGTATAATTATTAGTAGCGATTGCTGGTCCAATGCTCCTTGCTGGATTCATGGAAGCTCCTGTTACTCTCCTGTATTTTGAGATACAAATTGTGATTAGTAAAGGGTTTTCATGGCCCAGTTTGATTATAAACTGATTAGTTTTAAAAGTAAGCCAAATTAGAAATCTAAAATGATAATCAAGCTATCATTAAGACGAACAAAACTATGAGTTGTTCTACTTCTAGTATATGTATGAGATGACTGCACCGTTTTATAAAATTGGTTATGAAGCTGCTATAGAGAAAATAAATTTATTATTATAATTGTAGAAAACAGCTTTTTAGCACAATTTTTTTTTAAAATAATGAGAAAGCAATGCCCAAATAAAATTATGGTTGTTGACTAAGATTTCGTTTGGGACGGCTTTATTACTGCTTTTTAAAGCAGTTTTCTAGTATAAATATTTTAATTTTTATACTGAAAAGCTTATTTAAGAAGAAATAAGAAAGCAATCCCAAACAAAACCTAAAAACCAAAACAGCCAGAAAATTATCCCAAACACACCATTAATTTTACAAAGCCTTAAATCTAAATCAAATTAAATTAGTATATAAAAGCTATCAAATCTAAATAAAATTAAATCAAATAAAGCAATTTAATTAAAAAAAAAATATTATGACGGTATGTCTTGATCGAATTTACATCAAAATGAGCTTTCTTTTTCTTAGATTTGAACTCAAATTATTACCGCTCTTAAAAATCCGTTTTTTTGTTGCTTTTTAAAATAGCTTTTTAACATAAAAATTTTAATTTTTATATTAAAAAAATATATGGAAGAAAGTCGTCCAGCTTAAATTTAATTATGTAAATAAAAAACAATAATGTCCATCCTAAATGGAGGATAAGTATTAAAAACTAGCAGAAATATTGATTACCCTGCTATAAGCGCAATGACGAAGACCACTGCCCCCACAGCTACTCCACCAAGATCCTTTGTCTGGCAAATAAGAACTGAATAATTTAAAATATAAATCACTGAAAGACCATTAATTGCATATTTGAAACATTATTGCATTAAATCATTTATGAAATATGGATAAGATGCAATTATTTGGATGGAGTTAAAATAAATAAATATTTATATAATATTAGTTTTAGGCCATTAATTGCATGGGCAGTTTATGCCAATTGTTTTCTGGCCAAAAAATGTTGAAGTGGTTATTGTTAGGGCTGGGCATGAAAATAGTGCTTCATTTGTCTCGGTGCCCTCTTTAAAGGATAATCTCTGTGATAAGAAATAGGCCAGCAATTGATGCCTTTAAAAAAATATTTTTTTTTGGTGCCTTCGTTCATTGAGAAGGTTTCAAACTTTCAATGTGAAGATATTTTATCGTGATTTGATCACTTTATTTAGGTTTAATGGCAATTTAGCTATATTTTATTGGAGAGATTTGAGATTTTTTTTTTATCAAACCAAAAAGAATTACAAGAAAACAAGAAAACCTCAAATTATTACAATTTAGCTATACTTTCAATGTGAAGATGATGTGCTCCAATCAATCCAACCAAACAAGAAAACCTCACCAAAGGTTGCCACTAGCTAAGAAAACGAGGAAACGGGCCCCAGCCACATCATAGCCTGATAAACCCACGACGACCAAAATTCCATAAAAAGAACATTCAGCAAAAGGGCAGAAATCATTGGAAAAAAGAGCTATCTTCCTCTTCTGCACCTCCCACGAAACCTTCCACGAGATGCAATAGAGCCCACCAGTTTAGCACGAACCAATTTAAAATCTTGGCCAGGATAACATCCCCCACCAAACTCCAAGGAATCGTCAGAAGCAGACTCAAATTCAGACGAGCAATGCAACCAATCAATATGAGACCTCACATCCAACCCGGAATTATCTCCCACATGATAAGACAGCGCATGGGGCTCGATCAAACTCACAGGCACATCAACACAAGCATTAGAGTTAACCAACATTCGTTTCCCAACATTAAGACCACCACGATCCACATCCCCTCTTACAATAGGTTGAGACTATTCCACAGCACCATAAGCAACATTAGTAATAGAAGATACACTAGAATTCAACCCCCCGCCTCTAAATTATATTTGTTCAACAATCCCACCCCCCCCCCCCCCCCCCCACACACACACACACAATCTCAAATATTACTAACACCAACCGATTTCAACAAAGCAGGATCCCCAGCCCCAACAACGACAGGGTTATCAGGACATGAAGGACCGGACACCGTATTAGCAATAGCCTTATTCAACAATGGATCAGACACATACACCCGCTGGACAGCAATGATCGGCGAAATCCCAACCGTATTATCAGCCGTATCACAAAACAGAATATCACCAGCAACAACCAAATTAACCCCAATCACAATATCCAAATGATGCTCATCATTGGAAATATTTTTCTGAGTGTTACCAATAACATCCACATAAGATAAAACCGAATCAACAATGGGCAAAGATGCCACAGGTAAAACACATAAATCATTTTCTTTTAAAGTATCATCTAAAAGAGTAGGTATCACAGAAACATCACCAACAGGGGAGATAACCGCATAAGGAATAATCAAATACACATTGGGAGAGTTGGCCAAATTCGAAATATCAGCTACGGGACGACAGTTACCAGTCAAATGCCCAAGTTTCTTACAAGAAGAGCAAAAGGAAGGAAATTCTTTAAAAATCACTTGTTGGACATACCCAGAAACCTCAGGACCTAACCAAACCTTATCGGGATAAGATTTGGTAACGTCCAACTCAACTAAAACACGAGCAATAGATGGCCTGGAACCTAAAGAAGTGGCAGTATCAACTTTAAGCGGTTTGCCAAAAATCAAATCGAGACCATGAAGAATCTTGGGAGAAAAAAGGTGGGGACGAAGCTGAGGGAAAGAGACCCAGATAGGAGCAATTGGTGATTCGACACCAATATCCACCAGTGGCAACCATTTTGAAAGTTTCATGTAACAGTTATAGACAATGTAAGATCCATGGCAGAACACTCGACAGTAATCAAGATCATTTTTAAGTTTGATGAGTACAGGCGTCGGGTCCAACAAAGTCACAGAAAATTCGCCATTTAATTTCAGTTTGAAGAAGAAACGCCTGATTGAATTCAGAGAAGGCCATTTTGAAGGCAAATAACCAACCAGTGAGAATTGAAACGGAGCCGCTAAAGTCGAAATTTCAGTTTCCGAAATCCATAGAGAGGGTAAACCACGAAACGAAGACACCCTTAGTTCGGGAAAAGTAGGAGTAGAAGACGAACCAGCAAGAACATCTAAAAACGAACGAGAAGAGGAAACCCCCTCTAAAAAACCTGGATCACCAAGTTTCGGCGGCATGCCGGCAATCGCCGGAAAAACCCAGAACAAAACCAAAAACAGGGACCATAGAACAACCAGAAGACAAGAAGAGAAAGAGAAATACTACCCTGAAGGAGGGAAGCCACCACGGCAAGCAAAATCGAGCCTCCGGAGAGGGCTAGGGAAAAGTCCTAGCGGAGCGGGCAGAGCGAAACTCAAGTAGACTTAGAATAAACTAACCAAACAAGAAAAATGGTTAATTTGAGATTTTTCTATATAATGAGATTGAGCAGGCATAAACTTCCATGTTCCATGTGTTTGAATTATTAGCTTTTTCTGTTACTAAGCGAAGAATATGTCCACCATAAGAAAAAAATTTATTTTCAACAATTAAGAAGCATCCGGAAATAGCGACGAGAATACCGATGAATTCGAGGATGAAAATTGGTATGAAGTTCTCTAGTGGAATTTTATGTTCCGCTCCTGTTATCCTAGCTGCGTGCGAAAGCCCTCTCCCATTCCGCTCCCATTCACCACTCGGTTCAAAGGCCATTCCCTCGTCCTTCCAACTTCCTCTCCTAGACCGTTCATTCTCTCTACTCGCCCTTCTCCATCCGTTAGTTTTCTCTATTGTCGAATTAGAATTTTAGCCAACTGTTCCATAGAACAACCAGAAGACAAGAAGAGAAATAGAAATACTGCCCTGAAGGAGGGAAGCCACCACAGCAAGCAGAATCGAGCCGCCGGAGAGGGCTAGGGAAAAGCCCTAGCGGAGCGGGCAGAGCGAAACTCAAGTAGACTTAGAATAAACTAACCAAACAAGAAAAATGCTTCATTTGAGATTTTTCTATATGATGAGATTGAGCAGGCATAAACTTCCATGTTCCATGTGTTTGAATTATTAGCTTTTTCTGTTACTAAGAGAAGAATATGTCCACCATAAGAAAAAAATTTATTTTCAACAATTAAGAAGCATCCGGAAATAGCGACGAGAATACCGATGAATTCGAGGATGAAAATTGGTATGAAGTTCTCTAGTGGAATTTTATGTTCCGCTCCTGTTATCCTAGCTGCGTGCGAAAGCCCTCTCCCATTCCGCTCCCATTCACCACTCGGTTCAAAGGCCATTCCCTCGTCCTTCCAACTTCCTCTCCTAGACCGTTCATTCTCTCTACTCGCCCTTCTCCATCCGTTAGTTTTCTCTATTGTCGAATTAGAATTTTAGCCAACTGTTTTGCGATTCTTTTTCATTCAACATAGTAGACCACTTTTTTCTCATCTCTTTAATTTTCAAATCTTTGATTGACTTTCTAGATCTCCTTATTTCTTTTAAATGTGGATATATGTAAGAAATTATAAAAAAATTATGCATAAAAAAGCTAATTCAACTATTTAGACTTTAGATATGTGATATTTCTCCTTCTTCCTATAATCATCAAAAGTGAGGTACTCACTTTCCACTATCATTTGGCATAGGGATTAATGTACCACCTGGAACAAGTTCTACAAATAGTAATTATTTAATTTATTAAAGGAAGACATGTAAATTTATTAAAATAAATAAATGAAATCTTATCATATTAGGAAGGTTGTGTATTGGATGGTCTTTTGAGGCGTAATGGCCATTATAGGATCTACTTTTATGGATTATACTCGCAAGCCTAGTCGTACGATGTACAATTCTGTGTTGGTTCCAACTTCTCAAGAAGACGCTATGAGAGTTTGTATAGCCAATAGATGGCTGCCCTTACAGTATCGCTAGAGCATGTCCGAAATAAAAAGCTGACATGCAG